CTTTTGGATATTTTATGCCTGACTTACATGTACTAAAATTAAAGATTGGATAAGAAGGTCTGGTGGAATGCACCTCATTATGAAAATAAGTGTAATGAGTTCACATTGTAAAAGTCACTTTTTCTTGTCATTTTATTTTATTTTTTTGTTTTTGCTTGTCAGCTTTATTTACATGTATGCACATGGAAAATTAATGAAACAGTTACTAATTAAGCACCCACTTGTACATGTATCTTCGCATTTTGAAACTTGGCAATGACACTGTGATAATTGATGGTGAAACATTGTATACTGTCAATTGATTTTTCTCTTATATTAATATCAGTTACCATAAATTAAAACATAAAATGTGTCATCTAGTCCACAAAGGCTTATCTATTTCCTGTGAACGCAGAGATGAGAGTGACTGCGGAGCAGTCAGAAACTATCTTCCCCGCTGCTTGCATTCTCACTTTTGAATAGTTTGCTTCCAACCCTGCGGGACTTATACCAAAAAAGACAGTCTGTGGACAGAGTAAGGAGTATCCAGTTAATGAAGGATTGTGTATCTTATAGTGTATAGGTTTACAGTGGATGTACATGTACCAAATTAAAGTGTGTGTCATTAACACATGGCTTACCTTAATCTCTCTTAGGTGAAGCAAATGGAGGCAAAAGACTTACGCATTAAAATGGTGAATGAAATCTTAAGTGGAATTAAGGTACAGCTCATCTCAAGAGTACTTTAAATCACTCTCACAGAATGCAGTTGGAGAACTGATACATTCATGACTTCTTGTTAGTAGCTATACATGTCTTCTAGTGTCTAGTCAGATTATTTGAGGAGAATAATAATAAAGATATGTTTCTGTTCAGCTTAAAATATGCAGATTATTTCTTTTCCAGGTCCTTAAATTGTATGCTTGGGAAACATCCTTCATGGACAAAGTATCTGAAATCCGTCAACGTGAATTACGACAACTAAAGCATGCTGCTTATTTAAATGCATCATTTGCCTTTACCTTCACATGTGCCCCTTTCCTGGTAAGGTACTCTTACTGTAAGTTGTAAAACTATAATTCTGTCTTTTTTGTATATACCTACTAACTTAGAACATATCTAGACGTGACATGTTACATGTACAAGATTATTTGCAACTTAGCCAAAAAAATACCAACAGTAATTATAACTGAAGCAGGGCTGTCATTAAGTTTTGAGTCACCTGTTGCTTCGATATTCATGCCTGAAACAAACTTTTTAGTTTGTGTGTGAATTACATGTAGTGTATCAACAAAAGGCAAGTATCAAGGGCTTATTATGCATACTCAGCTGCAAAAGGTGTGACGTGATGTGGCCCTTAGTGACAGCCCTGCCAGGACTAAACCAGAGTATGTACAGAATCCCACTGCTTTAAAGGCACGTAAATTCAAGTTTGAACTTTGTTCCAAAGCAACGGTTATGATAGTTATTGTTAACCTGATTATGTCATAGTTTTGCACCACTTTGTAATGCCCATATTTGGCATTAAAAATGTCGTCAAACCGCACATGGTTAAGTGAATTCACTTACTCACTGTCAGTCATGCTTACTGGCACACAGGGTAGCAAACAGCAGAGAACTGACCTTGTAATCATTTACTAGTTTAAACATGGTACCTGAATTTACAAACTACATGTGACACATACAACAGCTCACTAATTAGCAATTTTGACAGTAGCTTTAGAACAGAAATCAATTTCCTTCTAGTGCTTTGCAACCACTGAGAATACTGAGAATTTTTTGATTCTGTTCAATGTATTCGAGATTATCTTCATTTGATATAAAATGGTCAAAAGAGGAT